TCCAAGGACGCCGCAAAAGGTGTGGTGTTAAACCGTCCTCTTGCTCAGCGGTTCATTTAATGGATCCTATGACAATGACATATATTTCTTTCATGCACTTTGGTTGGATTCGGTTCAATTTGAGTCTTAATTCATGTGGTTGTATAATTGTATTTGAATTTTAAAGACAATAATATATAGATGGAACAAGTCATCGTAAAGAAATTCAAAGCTTCTTACATACTTGGTATGGCAGGGTCTGTTTTGTTGTATTATGATATCCACACCACACGAGATGTATTTTGATATCCACTACAAATATGATAATCCAATACCAAATACAACAACAAATGATGGATTAGAGAGGCTACTACGCGAAACAGAAAGCGTTCCCGCCTACCATCTAAGACTTTAGAAAAGCTATGTGCAATAGACTTCGATGAAAGTACAAAGAACCATCCAGCCACAAAAGGACTTCCTAGTCCATAAGCAGGCCAGAAGCACAAAAATTACTCAAAACAACAATGTTCTAGCCCCAGATTGATTGAACCGCTTCAATGATGAATCAGCCATTTCTCCCGAATTTTGCATCAGTCTAAGCTTTGGCAATTGTTGTTTTCATGTCAGCATCCCCTTCGTTGTACATATTCTGCAAGTTGCATTGAATACAACAGTAATTAAGCAAGCAAATATATGTTTATTCAATGTGACTGCATTCACATTTTCAAATGTGGATGTGCATGCATATACATGTCAACCTCAAAGCTTGGTAACCTTACCTTCATCAAGTACATGATTCCTGCCATGGGATCTCTCTCTTCATCCATATTTGCCTGCAATATCAAACAATAAAACAAACTAATTCTTCTTCTGCCCTTGCCAAAGCATAAAATGGGTGGTCCAATGATATGATGAAGTACCTTGTCCTCCTTAAACTTCAAATCCAACCAGTAATCCTTTCAAGCTTTAGCCAAATTGATAACAACCCTTTTATGGTCAACTATCACCTTACACTTCTCTGGGACAATCTCCTTGTGCAGTTTAGGTATAGCCCATTTGTAATTCTTTCCTTGGAAATCATGGAATTTGATGTCAAAGTACATAGGCTTAATTTGATGTCAAAATCAACAGTAGTTTCTCTTTCCTTCAACTGTCATGTACATGCATATATGTATATTATTTTTATATTAAATTGATGCAAATTTCAATTGTTTGTGGAGCAGGATAGTAAAGATGGTTTTGTAATGGAAAAAGTGAAAGACACCTACAAAGATGTGGATGATTATATCTCTACTTACGAACCCCTTCTTCTCGAAGAAGCCAAAGCTCAGATTATTCAAGATAAATGTACTCATTTTTTTTCTTTTTCTTTCCTTTCTCTGTTTCGTTTTGAGAAAATTTGCTTCTCACTGGATTTTCTTTGTACATTTACTTGTGCAGTAGGAGACACCACGGAAAGGTGTGTTGTGGAGTGCACTGAAGTTGATCTGTTTCATTTCACTTAGCAGTTCTTACCCCCGCGAATGACATGGATGACAAGAAATCAGTATCGCAGAATGATCTTTTGCTTCTTTCAAAACAAAAGGTTATCAAATTCAACTGATTCTGTTTATTTCTATGTTGTCTCTGTTGCATTTCTCGCATAGTGCTCTCAAGATGTACTGCACTTATGTTCAAAATATTAACTTTACAAGCAAAATATTTGTATTTTACATTAAATACATAGATTCATTCATGTGTAAGTGCAATACACGCGGCACAAAATGAATGGAGAAGGTAAAAAGAAAAAAGTAAGAGAAAAGGTAGCTAGTACTCAGCAAGTTTGGAATTTTTTTGACTGAAAAATAATGTGTTTGTCTTTGGTTTTTTGGGGAAATTAAAGGAAACGTAAATCTTGGGAATGACAGGTTTCAATAACCAAAAATAATAATAATAAGACACATGTAAGAGGAATGACATAATTTATATGTTATGTAGGGATACTGTTTTGATGGCACTTGTTATTGCAGTATGAAAAGGAAACTCTAAGTCCAACAATCTATGCTTTTGTGTTGGTAGAAAGTCGTCAACCAAGTGGTTTTCGGATTAGAATGTATCTGTCTGGAGAAGTTACAAATTCGAATCCATATGCAGTTAAATCACGTTTAAGGCTGTTAAACATGAAGTCTTTACGTAATGAGGTTAACTTTGTCATGCTCTTGCATCATAAGCTCGTAAGTACATATCCAGAGCTTAAATCAAGTGATCAGTTGGCGATTATATCCCCATACAGAGAGCCAGTAGAACGCCTGAAACAACGTTTCAGAAGTACTTACGGTGTGGAGTTTGAGAAATTAGTGGAGATTACTACTGTTGATGGTTGCCAGGTAGGGTGGCTAATTCTTCTCATGGTTTTCGGGTGATCAAACTATTTCTTTTATGCTTGGGCAGCTTCCGAGATCAATTTGTTTGGTGGAATGTAATCATGTAATATGCATCTACTTGTCCACTGACTATTTCATTAGGTAGTGGGATCTGCATCAACATTAAGGAGGAATAAGCATTGGAAAAAGCCAAGTCATTCCGACTCAATGCTTATCATCATATGATATTCATAATTTCACATATATTTGTGATTTGATCATATGACATTGTTCTGGTGATTTATTGCAGGTTCCAAATAAGGACTTCGATTCATTTTTCAGTGATGAGAATATGAAATCGTTTGCAGTCAAGGAAGAATCCTCGTCAACGGAGGCGGTTCGCAATGATGATGTGGACAACTATGCACCTTCCGACAATCTTTGGGATGTTGACCAAGCACAGGAAGATGACAATGACTTTGGAGGAGGCGACATGGACATGGACATGGATAATGCAAGCTGCAGCGATGATTGAGTCTAGAAATTTCCAGGTTACTGATTTGATTTCGAAGCTTGTTGTGTAAGTTACTAGGTTTTACTTGAACCAGCTATTAAGATTAGAAGTGCAAATTGGATAAGGAATTCTTATTCATGACTGATTTCAACTGCAAACTTCGGCGCACCTGAAACAAATCTCGACATTTGAAATTCCAAAATCTGAAGGAAAAAAAAATCTGGATAGGAACTGGAATGTACGTTAAGATTCCAGTTGGGTCATTTTTTGAAAGTATGAACAAAAAACTTTCATGCAACTCGTATAAAAGAGAGAATAAATAAACAAAAACCCGTTTAAAAAAATTTAGAAAGAAATCGGGTATAGCCGGCCGGCTATACTATTTTAAAAAAAATCAAAATAACCGCTTAGCTGCCCACATGTCAAAATAAATATTCGCGCTATACTATTTTTTGGACAAAAATTAATAAAACATATTATAGCCGGGCGGCTATACTATTTTTTGGAAATATTAATAAAACTGCGTATCGCCGCGCGGCTATACTGTTTAAGAAATGTTGATAAAACCACGTATAGCCGCGTGGCTATACTATTTAAAAAAAGAAAAAAAAAATGAGTATAGCCGGACGGCTATATTGTTTTTAAAAAAATTAAAAAACCGGGTATAGCCGCCCGGCTATACTATTTATTTATATATATAAAAAAAAGGGAACGCTCGAGCGATTAGGTGCCACGTGTAAAAAAAAGCAGCCGGCTATACTTTTTTTATATAAAAAAACTGCTTATAGCCGATCGGCTATACTAATTTTTTTTACATAAAAAGAGAACCCCCAGCGATTCGGGACCACAACAAGGCTATTTTTAAAAATTAAAAAACACGAAGTATAGCCGCTCGGCTGTACTATTATGTTTTTTTAAAAAAGAGGACCGTCTAACGATTAGGCGCCACATGTCAAAAATAAGTATAGCCGCCGACTAGAAAATCGTAGTATAGCCGCCCGGCTATAATATTTAATCAAAAAAAAAAAAAGGTGAGTTTGAAACTTCGATATTATAAAACCCAACAGCGATTCGTGAATATTAAAAACTAAAATTATTAATGCCAGTATCTTTCTTTTATTTGAATTATTTCTCCTCCTTCGTCCTTTTAGGTTTGTCCCATCTTTCTTTGTCATTGCTTGGGACTCGAGGAAGAGCAGGCCAGAGCAGGGCAGGGCAGGGGTATTGATTATGCTCAAGACAAGAAAAATTATATATAAAGCAAAGCAAGAAAAAAGAAAATACCCCTTGGCAGTTTATTTTGCATGGAATGATCTCCGCATGCAGCTGCCAATGCCCTGTCGTTCATGCTGCCTGCCTGCCTGCCTGCGCCATCCAGTCAGTCAAGCGCCATCTATGCTGCCTGCCTGCCTGCCAATGTAATATTGGTACTAGTTTTCCTGCTGGACTAGCAAGTTTATATTGGTACTAGTTTTCCTGCTGGACTAGCAAGTTTATGTAATATTGGTACTAGTTTTCATGTGTGTGTAGGTGGTGGTTTGTGCTAAAATAAAATTACAGCTAGCTTTTCAATTAATTAAAACCAACTCATTTCCTAATGACACTTGCATGCTTATTTTCTTCTGGCTAATCATAGAAATAAACTTAATTTGTTTGGTCAAATAATATAGGTTATTTTAATTTTAATTTGTCTTAGCCAAAATGGCCAACAAAGCGTCGAGCTACAACACTTTTCTTCGTAAGGACGTCAAAACCAAAGGAAGGATTCTTTTAGCTAAGAAAGCCATAAGAAGTCTCGAGAGCACAAGATGGCATTGATTGAATATGCATGTGTAGGGTATATATGGTATCCTCACACTTAAACTCGAGAGCAGATGATACTAGAGAGATAATAGCACTTGTCATGGCCATGTTATTAATATGATATGAGTTCAACTACTAATATGATAGTTCCAATACCAAATCCACATCAAATGATCATCGATTAGAGGCTACTACGCGAAACAGAAAGCGTTCCAGCCTACCATCTAAGACTTTAGAAAAAGCTATGTTCAATAGACTTCCATGACATTACAAAGAACCGTCCAGCAACAAAAGGACTAACTACCATAAAGCCTGCCAGAAGCAAAAAAACTACTTAAAATACAATGTTCTATAGCCCCAGATTGATTGAACACCTCTTCGATGATGAATCAGGGGTTTCTCCCGAATTTTGCTTCAGTCCATGCTTTGGCAACTGTTCTTTTCATCTCTGGATCCCCTTCTTCGTACATATTCTGCAAGTTGCATTTCATACAGTTATTAACCAGACAGATATATAGTGTACATGTACGTTTATTCAATGTGATTGCATTCACATTTTCATGTATGACAGTACAGGATTTGCATGCATATACATGTGTACATCCTATCAACCTCAAAGCTTGATAACCTTACCTTCATTATGGCCATGGCTCCTACAAAAGGATCTGGTTCTTCATCCCAATTTGGCATCGGCATCGGCTGCAAGATCAAACAATAAAACAATTAGTTCCATTTCTGCCTTTGCCGAAGCATAAAATGGGCGGTCCGAAGAAAATGATGAAGTACCCTTTCCTCCTTGAACTTCAAATCCAACCAGTAATCCCTTGAAGCTTTAACCAAAGTGATGACAACCTTTTCAGGCTTGGTTATCACCCTACACCTCCCTGGGACAATCTCCTTGTGCAGTTCAGGTATAGCAAATTTGTAATTCTTTCCTTCAACATCATGGACTTTGATGTGAAAGGACGAAGGCGTGAAGCCACCCTCTATGTTCTCCTGATCAACTCCCTTCAGATATATATATACCTGCAGTAGGAAGGAAAGAAGAACACCAAAAACCATAAAATTAGCAATTGGAAGACACATGACCATTGCTTATAAGCAGAACAATAGCATAATTCATTTTGTTGCTTTGATGTTGCCTCATTGCAGAACACGTAAATGAGACAAGTAACCTAGACGTGCTTATCCTACGTAAAATCACATGGTAAAAACATCCTCACCTTGACATCAATATTATTTTGTTCCCAGCCGAATGACGCAAGCATCTCATAATGCCGAGCAGGGGTGCAAGTTGTAGCTAAAATTGGAATAGGCAAAGTAGCAGCCCCTTGTGATAACTGTAATAATCAAACAACATTAGCTTCTATAAGCGTATAAGCAAAGATAGAAAAGTTACTGTGTAGGCTTGACGTGGTGGGTTAAAACGAATTTAGTAAGTGCTACATGATACAATAATATCTCATCCTAGATGGTAAATACACATGGTAAATACATCCTCACCTTGACGTTATCATAATCTTGGTCCCAGCTGAATGGCACAGGCTTGTCATGTAGCAGAGCAGGGGTGGGAACTGCAGTAGCATCCCCTTGTGGCATCTGTAATGATCAAACAACATTAGCTGCTATAAGCCTATTATAAGCAAAGAAAGAAAAGTTAATGTATAGGCTTTACGTGGAACAATAATATCTCATTCTCTCTGAAAAAAAAATTAGTGGAGGACTTGTAGAGTTTAAATAATGCCAAATCAAACTTCAACAACACAGGTCAAAGAATCCACAGACATATTTGACATCATTGATCAGACAACAACTAAAGACACCACAATCATCTACAATCGTGTGATGGCACTCATTTGCATGCATGCCTGGAAAGAAATCACTTTGATCCACAACCAAACCCAAAACCAGGTTCAGGTTATTCATAACGCTACCCATCCCTGGTTATTATGATCAGTAGTTATAAGTTTTGGCCTCTTCTGCTAACAAGAGGAAGTCACAACAACACAACAAAAATTACAAAAGCACTCTGTTTTTCACCACCCAGAAAAGCATTTCTAAATTGTACCCATATCATATTGAACTCCCAAAAACTCACTTCATACGAGATAAAAATGAAAGACCCATTTTCTTCCATATCTGTAAACCCTTCTTTGTTGTAGATATAACTACTTCGCATACCCTGAAAGAATTCACCTTCATTTACCAGGAAAATGGACAGGGTTGGGGACTTTTTTCTTATCAAGAATCATGTAATACCAAGAAAAAGAGAAATCACCTTCTTTTGAAATTCCAAGAAGCGAGTTTATGCAACTAAGAACGATAACAGCCTCAAATAGGATGTTTTATTTTTGACCCACAATCGAAGAATCCATATCATATTGACCTCAAGAACTCAAGACCCATTTTCTTCAAAACTGTACCCACCCCATTTTCTTACACTCGTCAGCTAACAGGAAGTAGCAAAAAATTGCAAAAGCACTCAAGAACAATTTGTAAACCCATATCATATTGAACTCAAGAACTCAATACCCATTTTCTTCCATAACTGTAAACCCCATTTTCATACAATAAACTGGGTACATTATCAAGCAGTCGTACATATTTTCCGCAAAAACTTTGCGACCCATGCTTAAGATATGTAAGGAGAACAAAATAGTGGCTTGTAAATGAAACAGTACAGATATAAAAATGGGACCTTTTCCAAAGTGCGAATCGCAGAGGAAATGAAGTTGATGATATGGGGTCGTGTAGCAATGCTCTTAAGGTGGCGGAGCTCCACCAAATCTAGCGCCACTTCGTCTGCCATTTTCGTCTTTCTTTCACTCTACGCTTGGTTTCTTTTCCTTCACACTATCTTTGCTAATTGTAATTGCTCTCAAAAGAAACAGAGCGCCTTTGATGGTTTAGATGGGTAATTATATTTGGGTTAAGACAAGAAGCCGCATAAATTTGCTATAAGCTTAGGGAGGGAAACGAGAGGGGTATATCGGGAATTTACTGTTCCAATAAGGTTCTAGATTCGACGTTTCGGACCGGTTGCAAATAGTGGGCGCGATACACGTGAAAGTTTTGTTAGGGCTTATTATTTGGGCTTGGTTCTCGGCTGGCTGCTACTCAACAACCAGCCTGTTGTTCTCAGATCCCATAGCCCAAAAGCCTATCCTCATTTTTGTTAATGGAAAAAGTGGGAGTTGAATTTGAGACCTCTTTCAGAACTGAGAACAAAAACGTTACTTGGGTACGAGCTAGTTGCCACCCGAAATCCTATAAAAGCATCTTTTTTGTAAAGTCATAATATGATTTGCGTTGCAAATTATCAGAATTTGTGTATCAATGTATGTCTCTACAATTATTATGTACAATGATGCACTTGCAAGAGCGGCAATACTAGCATTGTCTTATGAGAATCAGATATATGCTAATGTGCACACTATGGTGATCAGGATTTGTAACTTGTGTCTTGTTTGTGTTTGGTTAGAATGGTTTGAAGCTGCTTTTGCAATTGGGCTCTAATTTGGTAATTAGAAGTCAACTTTCTATCAAGCTCCTCCTTCATAGCTAAAAGCTCAGACTTTCTCATTTCAGCCGCAGCTATCTCAGAATCACTCGTGCATCTGTCACTGCCTTGGAATTTGACAAAGCTCGATTGAATCTGTTAAGTTGTAAGAATCTTCATCAATCAAACATCTAAATTGCATCCTCAAAAGCCCTTGAATTTTGAAATTCCCAAATCTTGCTTTGCATATCACTAAAGTAGTGATCTGTAGGGGTTTGATTGGGTTCTTTTTTTACCTCATTGATGCCCTTCTTCAAATCTTGAACTTGCATTTGGCATTCAAAAGCAAACCTCTCCACATTTTGCTTGAACTCCTTCATTTCAGAGCCCTTCAGTTCATAAAACCTGTTCTTCTCCTTCTCCAAGTCCTCAAGCTCCTCCACCTCACTCTTCAAAACCCTAACATTCCATTCCCAATTCCAATACGATATTAAGTTCTAATTTTAACCTAATTAATCAATTGAGATGAAACTAATACCTCAATTGATGATAATCGGTTTGATTTTTCTCGTCGAGGCGATCGATCTCGGACCTCAGCGCCCAAATCTTGAAGCTTTGCGATGCGATCTTTTGTTCGAGCGCCAAGCACCTCTGCTCCGTGGCCCTCATGCTTGCGATCCTCAAAACCAACGCCTGAGACTTGTTCTCCTGCACTTCTTTCTCTGCCTGCAAACGAAGCCAGAACTAATCAGATTTTTGCTCCAATTTGGCCGCAGAGAAAGCGTAGGAAATTTGACGAAATAAGCAATTCTAAATTTCTGATTCTTAGAGAAATTGAACAGAATTGAAGGAGATTAGGGTTTGTGCTTGGTACCTGGAGGAGGGAGAGGCGTTGGTTACGAGTATGCTCCATGTGCTCAAGTCGTTCCCGAAACGCAGCGGAGAGCGCCATTGCAATCTGCAGAGGAGAAGGCTCAGAAATTGTGGTTTCTGAACGGTCAACGAAATTTTGAATTTTGAAATATATATAGAGGAGCTTAGAAGAATACGTGCTCTAATGAGATTGGTTAGAAAGAGTGGGCTTCCATTTTTTTTATTTTTTTTCGCATTAATGAAGAAAATTAAAAATTGTGCTCTCGCCAACATGAACATTGTTTTGAAAACTTCTATTAAATACACAATATATATATATATATAACAGAAATACTTCTCTTATAGTATGATTTCTCTTGCATTTATTAATTTATGGCTTTATTAATACATTATTAATTCATGGCTTCTTTTGTGTTTATTAATATATTAAAGATAAAAAATTATGTAGGTTTCGTATTAAATTCGTAATGTAATATTCTCTTATTATGACTTCCCCAAATCTTAATAAGTAAACACGCTCTTAAATTAATGAGATTTCAGTATTTTGAATTATATATAGAATATGACTCACTCGTCATGATTATTGTACTTATTAATTTAGCTTGTTTTTTTTTAGTTGCTTTGTCTAGGGTTTATGTGGATTTTCCAAATAGTTTAAAAAATTTATAATCTTTATAATAAGTGCATGGTGCAAGGAGGTAGGTAGCTAGTTTCTATGACAAATATCATTATAGGGAGTGTGTTCCCCTCAATTTGGTGCGAACTTATACTATTTACCAACCGACCTTAATTAGTATATTAATGACGAGGTAAACAATGAGGAGAAATAGCACTTTGAATCTAATTACCCCAAAAAAAAAAAAAAATCTACTTTGAATTTAAAACTTTTTTTTTTTTTTTGGGGAGAGAATTTAAAACTGTTTAGTCCTTAAATTTCTGCTCACTTTCTCCAAATGCTGACAAGGTTTTTATAATATTGATACAGTTGACAAAGAAAGAGCATATTGCACATGAAGAGCTATTGCAGATGGTGAGAGGTTAGTGACTTAGTGAGAAAGAAACAGACAATTAATAAAGAATAATAACAATATTGATTTGCATTGCTAGATAAATAAATAAAATAAAATATTAATTAAAATGGGTCCAAAGTTCCCAAATCCACAATTGAAATATTTTTACTCACCACTTTAACTCAAGGTGTATGCTCTCTACCCTTCTTAATACATGACACGTGTTCATAGGCCTAATCATAGTTAACTTTGTACTTTGATTTTTTTAAATCATGGTTATACTTATAGACACGCATCAAGTGTTGAGAAGAGTGGTAAGCATACATCTTAAGTTAAAGTGACAAGCGAAAATACTCCCGATCTATAACATGAGCAGAATTTGTACTTTTTTTTTTAATTTAAAATTTTTCCATATTGTTTAGTATTAATGTATATCTGACTAAGCAACTGCCGAAAACTGAAAACTTCCCATGTGGAAGAGGACGGTGCCTTTATAAAAGCATCTTCCACAATTATGTACCAATTAAAGGCAACATTAAACAAGTAATTAATGCCTAATCCATCATGCATGATCCCTAAACATGGCATATGAGGCTAATCAACCTATCATTGTGCCCTTATTAAAATCACAATTATCGACAAATAAACTACCACAATCGAACAATTGCCTTTGACCCTTGGAAACAAAAGCAGGGGTCACTTTGCATATATAAATATATGAAAGCCATTTTATCGGCACTAGCTAGCATTTCACAAGGAGTAAAAGGCATGCAGATTCACATTGTATATGTCATTTGAGTAGGACCTTTCTAGTTTCTTTCCTTTTTCTTTTTGAGTAATTACTTTGTGATATATAATGTGTTTTTTTTTTTTTACAGAATGATATTCTAACAACTCTAATGTACGATGAGGGGAAT